TCTGTATGAAACTGTGTATTTTAATAATGAAATGGAGATCTTTTTTTTAAAATTAAAACCTCATTTAATTTTACATCTTATAGGGTTAATATGGAGCACAATATTGTATAACTGTATTAATTCAACTGTAAACCTAAAAATTTACAGCCAATTTTTAAAGAGATGCATCTTAGCTCTAGAAATTGTTATTGAATATGTCAATGCTGTTGTAATGAAATTATATGATTATTAAATAAACAATTTTTAAAAATCCTTTGAGAATTTCATAACTGCATACAACATATTTTGATCAAATCTAACCTCTAGCTACTTTCTTATCCTCCACCAAGTTTCCCTCCCAAATACAGTGCTCTTTTTCTAAACCCACTGAATCCCCTTAGTGCTTCTTATATGTGGATGGGTGTGGGACCCTCTACTGTGTAGCCTCTCAGGGGCTGCATGAAGAAAACTGATCTCCCTTCACCAGCAGCCATCAACTGTCAATAGCTCCTCAGCTAGGCGTGGGACTTTGCGTCTCTTCCTCCTCTGTTCTGGAATCTGGCTGGCTTGATCTTGTGCAGATCTTGTGCATGAAGTTATAGCTGCTGTGTGTTTATGTGAGTAACTGCACTGTCATGTCTGAGAAATACTGTTTGCAGACATGTAGTACTTCTTACTCTTACAGTCTTTCTACACACCCCCTTCAGTGACGATCCCTAAGCCTCAGGGACAGGAGATGTTATAGGACGTCCCTTGTAAAGCTTAGCATTCCACAGTCTCTTATTTTCTACATGTTGATCAGTTGAGGGTCTCTGCAGTAACAGCTATCTATTGAAAAAAGAAACTTCTTACATGAGGGCTGAGAGGTGCACTCATCAATGGGTACAAAGATAAGAACTTAGAGAACAGTTTATTACTGTATCTGTTTAGCATACTAATTGGACATAATACCATTACAATCTTAGTCTTTATCTATCTGCACATTGACTGTAAAACCAAATCATGCTAATGGACAAACAGGAATCAGTCAAAGGGTAAGAGAAAAAACAAACATCGTATGTTCAGAAAACAGCAGGGGGAAATGCTTAACATTGAGTCAGGTTTTGGAAACCAGGTTTAACAAAATCTTACGAAGAGCAAACAAACGCAGGGCTTTTGATCTTTGTGTTACACACTAGTGAGGTCTGTTACATCATTATAATCCAGGAGGCATTTATTTAAAGGAATGATTTCAATCATTTTCAATGATTTGAAATTTGAAAGGCTAAACATCACAAGCAATGAATAAAATAAATAACTAGAGGGTCAAGGAAATATGTATAAATGTAAGTGGCTCAAATAGGGCCGTTTAGTCCTGCAACAAACCAAAACACAAAACATTTAGTGTAACCGGGCCACAGACACAATGCATTTGCATTTCTCCTTTGCCACTCTGATTCTCAGGAATAAATGAAGAATACTTAGTGACAGGTAGACTGATTTACTGTTTATTGCTAATGAGCAACATAGTAAAATAATTCAGTCAAGACAGGGCACACTGCAGAATTCCCGTCATCACTGTCCACATCCCGTGTACACAACTGGGTGGAAAATATGTACTTCATCCTTTATGTGAAAAGTCCCAAATGGCCAATATTCAATGGAACAATTTTTCAGCTCAGAAGGCATCACATGAAGAGAAACCTTTTTGTTTGATTTTTTCCCTTCTGGAGATACTGTAAGAATTCAAGGATATGGAACAACTGATTGCAATTTTACTATTTATGTTGGGAATACCGGCTCGCCTGGTACTATTTTCTTTCCGCCTTTGATTTTGATTTTATCCTCCATGTCTGCCATTTGTGATCCGCATTATGAACCAAATTACTCACTTATTGAGTAGAAAATAAAGGACACGGGGAGATCGATGCATAAAATTACAGAAAGACTTGTTTTAAGTAATGTTCCCCCAACAGCTTGTAATGTAAAAACACAAAACATTACAGCAGATATCATGGTTAAATACTGCGGTGCCCAGAGGTACTTAGTGACCAGCAAGTGTGTGAGATCACTTCTCATATTCTGATACACCTAGTCCGGGGAAACTGTCCGGCTTTGTTTCCATTGTTATATTAAGATCTCTTACTGCATACACTTGTTGAAATTCGATTCACCCTGTTACACACTTTTTCTCCTCCACTCCCCGACCCCTTCCCCCTCTCAGCTCCTCCCCATCAGCTTGCAAGCCTTTTGTTGGCTGTGCAGGTTGGTACTGGTAGTGACAGGTGCAGTGTGTTCTTATCTGCATAGCCAGAAGACAAAGGTTCACACATTTCTCCCCATATGGCTCTTAGAACATTTCTGGATGGTCCCTGGGCCTTAGAAGGGGTGAATACAGATATACATACATATGCATGTATGTATGTGTTGTGTGTGTGTGGTTTGTTTGTTTTTAGACAAAATTTTATTTCTTCTTATTGTATAGCTTACTTGTACTGAATTAAAGTTTTGATGAAATTTATATATAAGATTTTATTACATAAAAACTTGTTAAAAACTATTTACTGTTTATCAGTATTTTCCATTCATGGGGTTTCCTGAACTTGTTAGCTTAACATTTGAAGTCAAGCCCTGCACTCTTTACACATGAAGTCTTTGGTATCAAATATTCCAATTTATAAATCTTACTTTTCTGATTTTATTTCCACATCCTCCTAATGCTGCACTCTAAATGAAAGATCTATATTTTATGAAGACTTCCATGTACTGCCCTTGAGAATCACAGGCAAGTTTTGGTAATAAATGTCCTCTAAGATGCACTTTGAGTTTTGTTCAGTTTGGTATTGCAGAAATTATTGACCCCAGATAAGCTTTAGTTTTTGATTCATAAAAAGGGAGTAAACATAGGTATCTCCTGCTGGGCCTGGTGGCACATGTCTTTAATCTCAGCACTCAGGAGGCAGATACAGGCAGATTTTTTTGTGAGTTAGAGGCCAGACAGGTCTACAATTGTGAGTTCCAGGTCAGCCAGGGCTACATAGTGAGACCCTATCTCAATAAAGTATGTTTTTTTTCTTGGTTAAAATATTTATTGAAAACTTGACATGTAGTCAGTGCAGGATGCCTGGCTGAGGTGTCGTCATCGTTACCATCAGCAGCATCACCAAGTTCTGTTCCCCTCAGCTCCTAAGATTAAAGATTTAAGGACAAAGAGGCATTCTAGAGGATGAAGTGAGAATCCTTTTCTTTCTCTTAGAAAAAAATAATTAAATATATTGCAATAGCTCACATGTGCTAAGCTATCGTTAAGCTTCTTGACTTTGAACAAGAATTCTTAAGTTCCACGAGATAAGATCCCAGGTTGCTCACATGGCCGAACTGACCCTTTGTAAAAGAGGACAAATGAACTAATATTATTTAATAAATGTAATTCGGTTTGTTGATAAGATCACAAAACATGGAAGTCAGGGTGCAGAAATTCATTGATTTTCTTGCAGAGTGTTTTATGTAGTTAAATTTGGTTAGACAAATTCTCAAAAAGAGTGGTTGCTTGGCAAATATAGAGACAGTCAAATGTAATACGTTGTTCACAGCAGATAACAATACATGAGCTCTCTTTTAAAAAGTAGGATGTAAATTCAGAAACATTTAAACATAAAGGAAAGCAATAATTTTCATATCTCCAGCATCCAATAACGGCAGCACCTTTTCCTGACAAAAAGGGACGTGCACAGCACCGTCTTCCTATTTACTTTCTGTGATTTGAGAAACATCAAGTGTGTTACCCAGACTTAGGAAAGTATAGTGCAGTGATTACAGTCTCAGAAAACACATGGACAACAAACGTAGCATCTACACGAAACAAATCCCTTGTTCTCATGTACACTGGTGCAAACTTCAAACTTCACTTATACACAAGTAGGACTTTTCCAGTCATCTAGAGAGCTAGATTTCACTAAATAGTGCTAAGTGTAGATTCCTTGTACAGTGTAAATAGGGTGCACAGAAAGGGAGCCACTAATACCAACTGTCTTATGTTATTAGTTCATGAATGACAATGTTCCTAAGAAACCAATATCAGAATAAAATCCCAAACACACCCATAAACCTGCTGCTGGGATTACTTAGTGTGCTTTACTTAAAGAGCAGGTACTGCTAATTTAGATTCTGTCCACACAGCAGATTGTTATAAGTCTGTCATGTGGGTGCTGCCCAACTGATGATAAGTTGGGCAGGTCAGTTCATCAGATTTTGTCTCTAATTAGCCCTGGGGGGGAAACACACGCACGCACACACGCACGCACGCACACACGCTGCAAACTGCAGCAGAAAAAAGACTTGACCTTGCTAAGTTGCACACATTGGAGGAGGGCAGATGAAGCTCTGTATTCAGAAGGAAGCAGCCAATGAAAATGGGGCCACTCTGGGAAAGCCACCAAAACACAATGTGTCAAGTCAACTCAGAACCCTTCTCTTAGAGGAACAGCTTCCAGCGTTTCTGAAATTTACACACACACACACACACACACACACACACACACACACACACACACCTGCAAAGCAGGCTAAGTTACCTTGCTCACAGTGGCTTCCGGTGAATCCAGACGGGCAGACACATTTGTTAGGAGCCACGCAGGTTCCCCCATGTCTGCAACCCTCTTCACAGAAAGCTGTGGAGAAAACAATCAAAGTTTTGCTTAGGAAATGCTGCAAAGAAATCATGAACAGCAGGACTTCTGAAACAATTTTTTGTTGCACTGGAAATCCATCTCTGTATTGGCACATTTAAATTTTCTGTGCACAACAAGAAATAAAGGTAACGACAATGATTTCACTGATTTATAGGAAATCAATTGAAATAATGGATGTAAGGTGTTGAGCTTGGGTCTGGCATGTGCTAAATGAGAGCTGGTTTCAGTAGAGACTTCTATTGCTGTCATTATTGATTTATTTGAAGTCATCTAACACAAGCTGAGTTGCTAGATGCAGAAAGGTGAGTTAGGGGCAAAGACTTTCTCAATGTTTGCTGTTCTATAACCTATTCTTTTCCACTAAATATCTTTCATAACGTCTTTTATGGCAATATATTTTTAACTTTTCAAAAAGATTTCTCAGTAGTCAATAACACTTTTGATAACATAATAAATGCAATTAATCTTTTCTTTTGGATAGTTAAGCTCCAAGGGTTTTTGTTTGTTTTTGACTGGGTCTCCCTAGTTCTAGCCCACCTGGAACTATTTAGACCAGGCTGGCCTTGATCTCACAGAGATTCACCTCCCTCTGGGGGGCTGGGATTAAAGGGGTTGGCCCCCAGCGTTGGCTCCAGACTTTTGATAACATAATAAATGCAATTAATCTTTTCTTTTGGATAGTTAAGCTCCAAGGGTTTTTGTTTGTTTTTGACTGGGTCTCCCTAGTTCTAGCCCACCTGGAACTATTTAGACCAGGCTGGCCTTGATCTCACAGAGATTAACCTCCCTCTGGGGGGCTGGGATTAAAGGGGTTGGCCCCCAGCGTTGCCTCCAATATTTTGAAAATAGAAATAGCACACTGTTTTGGTAGCTAGGATGCTATGGCCTTGGAAAAAGTGTCTTGACATGGAAACACTGGTTGAAAGGGTGTAGACTTCTACCTTCCGATAAACCTTGCAAAGCTCTCCTACCCTAATTCAGCACTTCACAGCCCAGGAATCTGCCTGTGACACACAGTGGGAACACAGCTCCACTGCATTTATAGAAAATCAGCTGCCATGCCCCCGACACGTTCCATCAGGAAGCCCAGGACAACAGGCAGCGGAGCTGGTTTCGCTCAATGCCATGTTCTGATCTTGGCATCTACCACATCGTTGGGTGGCTTAGTCTTCATTTTATAAGCTCTTCTCATAGGAAAACCCCTGTTCTTATGATTCTACATCACTTCCATCCAGGAAAATCTGCTGAAAACTGTTACTGTATAATCAATAGTTTAGTTTGCTAACTGATAAAAATCACTGAAATTTCTAATTGGTGAAGTTGATTGGAATAAAACTGAGTTTCTTTCATTCATCTGAGAACTAGGTGAGCAACAGTTTTAAATTTTACTTGGAAGACAACGTCACCCTGAAAAAAACGCCCTGGCCATACGTTGCTCTCATCACGTAATTAATATTAGTCTAGCTTTAAAAATCCATGGAGTGTGTTTAGATAGTGGAATCACAGTCAAAGGTGTGGAACTTATCACAATGTTGTTGTTTTCCACATCATTTACCATCCCTTGGGTAAATTCACATTTTACAGCTTCAGGAATTAATTGTGAGCTCCTTTGCGGAGGCTACAGACCTTGGAATTCAAGGACAACTTCATTTCCCAGCATCTTAGGACACTTGTGCATAAAAGGATTTAGGCACTGACTGCTTCCTTGAGTAATTCACAGAACACCTTCCACATCTCCAGAAATCAGACATTGTAAGCTCTCATGAATAACGTCTCAAAGTACAGTTCTGCATCAAAACTAGTAACAGAACGGCAGAGTGTTCTTGTCAGGTGGAAAGCTGTTAAGATAAAGCTTCAGGAATGGCAGATGTCTGCAGGGGCTGGAAGCAGAAGGCTCTGCCTGACACACACGTATCTCATCTAGATCTGTGAATCTTGTTAGGGGGCATGGCTGTGTGACTTGAGTTACTCGACCCTTATACAAAGACATCAATATGAGACTATGTGGGAGAAGTGTTGGCCCAGGTGATAGTCTTCGGGTGTGTAAGTCAGCCCAAGGACAAACTGAGCATTTGTAAAGGACTCTACATGATATTTGGACACAGCTGTACTATGTAAGTGCTTTGTTATATAAAATCACTTAGTAACAGCCTCATGGTGACCATGAAGTATGGGCTGGGCACAAATTGTCTAATACCCAGACAAGGAAAATCTACTGTACAAGGTGTTTAACTTTGACATGTGCTGAAGACATCCTCGTGGAAATGCCTTACAAGTGTCACTCCAGTATAAAACCAGTGAGAAATGAGGTTCAGAAACCGAGCTGAACCTCCTTTCAGGCCTATCTGCAGAGCTGTGGTTCAAGCAAACGCCTTCACCTCCTAAATCCTCTTTTCACAAGCTTGTATTCACAAACAAGTTTATCCTTTTCTGAACAGCTCCATAGTAGCTAAGGAAACTAATGAAAATGGAAGCAACGTTATGACCAGACTGCGTGAGTTCCATCAAAGAACTTGCTCAGTCCATGCAGACATTTGGTAAGCTTCACTTTTGCCTGTATCCACCCACGTGTCTCACAAATCTAGGCGCATATCACTTTAAAATGTAAATTATCCGGAATAAGCAAAGAACTCATTGTTTACTTGGTCATTAAGCAAAATGGCAACGCACTTGAAAATGTAAACTAAATAAAGAAGGGCCTTGTCATCCAAAACTTTACTTTGGGGAAATCAAGGTAAATTCAATTTTTCTTGGTATGACTCAAAAGAAGCTGTTATACCCTGGTCTAAATATTGTAGACATATTATTTAGAGCCACACGGAGATTACATATATATATATATATATTCTTCTAGACTACTAACCCAGCATTCCAAGGGAAAGGACTGATACTTTGTACAGGGGACCTACACTTTGTACAGAGTAACTCGTTGGCACTGGGACTAAAACCCGAAGCCAGGTCAGCCATCTATGCCTTCAGGTCAGCCATCTATGCCTTCATAGTTTGAGAGGTGAGCTGTTGGAAACTCTGGCCTATATGCTTGCCTTAGACTTATGAGCTATGTGATCTACCACAAAATATTTAACCTTTCTGTGCCTCAGTCTCCTCAAGAGCAAAGTAGCGATGATTATTAATGATACCATCTGTGCTGTGAGGGCTGAATCAAGTCACTAACATCAGCCACCAGTACAACACATAACAAGTGCAATGACCTCAAAACTGAAGGCAATTCCTGGTTTTTACCACCAGGGTTCTGCTCTGCCAGATGACTGCGCTATGTTATTTTGAACCAGTTTCTTTCATAGACTCTAGAAATCAGCACTGATCAAGACACAAAAAATCCCAATACTGTGAAGACCACTGACTAGTGAGGGCTCACCACTGCCGCCTCAGTGACTTGAGGGCCTTCACAGTATCTGGATGCTACAGGACTTGGAATCCTGTAACTCTGTTACAAATGCAGAGAAATTCAGCACCATGGGTTGTGACTTAATACACTGACTATTTGTCAACCGCAGTCCAGAATCTGAACCACGGCATAAACTGATTGAAGATGGACAATGGGATTATAGACTTTGATCTGTTAGATTAGTGCTATTTATTATTAACTTACTGCCCGGGAGGAGATCTTTGATCAGATCAACTCTAAAATGGTATGATTTATTTGTGAAAGAACTCTTGGCATTTTGCAAGAAAATGGAATCACAAACTTCAGAGTTGAGGGAGATTTAATCCAAAGAAAGAATGCACACTTATACTGCAAACAATCCTGACAACTGGGGCGATCAGGGAAAGAAAATGAGGAGGTGGTTTTTCAGGTGTTAAGAATCCCCATCACGTGCTATAGCCAATAAACATGGTGACACAGTGATAAAAAGAATAGCTCTTCATATTCTAAACAGCGCCCCTGGCCCTCTTAAAGTTTTACTGGGATGTACTTTCCTAGGGGCATTCTGGGATTCTTGCAGGTGAACACACAATTTTCAGTGCCATATGTTAGAAAGGCACCTTTCTCCTCCTTCCTGGTTTGCTTGAGGAAGTATGCTCCTTGGGTTGGTTTGTGACCCCTCTCTGCCCATTTTATGCCATCTGTCCTACGGGAAAGATATCAGGAAGACGCAGGAGACAGGCAGTGTAGCTCCTGATCATCACCAGGAGGCAAGGCCCCATTTCTAGTTTAATTTGGGGTCATTTATAAGTTAGGAATCATATTATTAAACTTAACTATTGATTTATTTAATAATATGTAGAATTTGTCTTCCATGAAGGTAGCTGGTTTGATAATATACATCTGAAGTGTAAAGGGTAAAGAGCTGCAGTGAAGCCAGGTCTGGCCCAACACAGCGCCACACCCACTTTCCTCTCTTGGGAGTAAGTTCCCACAGTCAGCGTCCCTTTCTCAAACTGAAACTCATGTTCCCCAACTCAGCTCTTCCAATAATCAAAGGATATCATCTCTTCCAGGTTTTCTCTGTAGTTAATTCCTGGTTGTGTTCAGACGTGAGCTCTATCAAAGGGTCCTTCAAGTATTTTGGGTGGTACTGGTGGGTGGGAACTGTCCTATAGTAACTTGGAATGTCACTATGTGCCCCAGGACAGCCCTGAATGACGGACAAATGTTCGGTCTGAAATGTCGTCATGAGGAGATTGAGAAATTTTTACTACTCTTTAGTCTGTCAAGTTCATTAAATGTCTCTGGGTCCAAAATTCTGTTACTTTTACCCCACGATTTTTTCAATTTACTCTTCTCAAACTTCCTCTAAAATAACTTGAAAACGTGTGGAAAAAGATGAGGGAAAATTACTCAGAAGACCAGTCAATCATATAATATAAAACACCCACATGGCTTCCGTTTTGAGCATCATTCTGGTCTGATAGCCATGGTGCACTGCATACGTTAATAACTGTTCACTTCAAAAGCCACCTTACTGGACAGGAAATGGTGGCTGGGGGAGGAGTGTGTCTCCCTCTGTGGTCGA